TGCGATGACATTTGTGGCATGCCCAGAACTTGGAGGTGCGCGGCGCCATGCCTCCTGCATCTGCACTGTGATGCTGTGAGAGACGATGTACTGCGGCTGAAAGTCGAAGCAGGAGACGGTCCTGGGCGCGAAGAGCTCGCTGTCTCCTGTGCCAGGATGGTTCCTTCGGAAATGAAAGGGAGTCGTGAGAGAAAGACGTGGTCGCCTGGCCGCTGGGGCCAATGGAAGTACAGTGATGGGGGCGACGCACAGCAAGGCCTGGGTCCGTTAATGGAATGGCATCCTCAGGCCAAGAGGGGGGCCTGAGCCGGACCGGCCTTAGGAAGGAGGGGGAGGAGGAAGGAAGCCCGCGCCGAGATTCGAGGCTGGGCCGCAAGGCCTCCGGACAGCCGGGGCAAGTTGACACAGAACCTCTACCTGCCACCGCACTCCACGCCGACCTGCGGTCCAGATCGCGTTGTGCAGCGATGACGCGCGCACAAACGGGCGGACAAATCCTGCCCCCCCCCCCGGGAAGCCGCCACGCGCACTTTGTCCGGCGAGTGCGGCCGAAAAATCTGGCAATAGCCCCGGGCCCGGTGCCAGCGCGGTCCACCAGCAAGCAGCAACGACTGGCGAGACAAAGGAGGCGAACGATGCACCCACATACATCCGCAAGCGGACACACGGGAGCGCACCGTTCACCAGCCAGCAGCAAGGGACAACCCCCGAGGGGGGAGGAGAGGCCGACGGCCAACCAGAGGAGCGGGAAGGGCGAGAGGAGCGGAAGAGACGAGACGACAACGACGAGACGACGACGGACGAAGGAGACGACAGCAGGAGGGGCCATGCGGCACCACAGGACCGACAGGACGCCAAACTGTCTCGCTCCGAGCTCGGACGCGGGGGGGGGAGGGGAGGGGAGGAGGAGAATCGCTCTGCATAAAACTGAAAATCGCGAGCCAGCCAGAAAATAAATCGACGGGCAGCCATCCCCATTTAGGGCGGCACGCCGGCGTCCACCCTCGGGTGTCGAGAGAACTCGCGCGCAGTTTCGGCTCTGACCGAACCCGCGCAGACGCCCTCCCACGAGCCATCGGCCACACGACCGGGACAGCTACAAGCCTGCCGGCCCCGACTGACAGAATGGCACCCCGCGCTCAGTTCCAGCCGTGCGCAGCATCGTATATGCGCGCCGCGGTGCGGTGGCCCCGTGCCGCCCCCCGGAATGATTGCCCGAGCGCTTCCCGAGCAGCGGGGCCCCTGCTGACCCGGCCATGGCGGCAGAGGCAGTGGGTGCGGTATAACGCCGCGGCCGGGATCGACACTTTGACCGCTCTCTCTGGGCCGTGGCCTGCGCGGTAGTCGAGCCCCAGAAACGCCGCCAGCCGGTCGCCTGGAGACTCTGGTCGAGGGAGGCGAAGCACGGCGTCAGCAGCCTCGTGGAGCACCGGGCAATTCGCGTAGTGCTCGATGGAATCGGCCGCAGCTGGTGAACAATGGAACATGCAGCCAGCTAGGCCGACGCGGCCCTGCGTGCGCCGGCTCGACGCCCATCCGTTCCACAGCGCCCGCCACGTCGCAGCCCAGACGCGCGGCGGAACCCGCCCCCGCAGGGCCTGCAAGAAAGCCAAGCAGTTGGCTACCCGTACCCGAGGGAGTTGGGGAACCGCCCAGCGGCCCAGCGCATGTCGGATCCGCATCTCCAGGTTGAGGGTCGTGGCCCGCGGCAGCGACGCAGCCGCTGTTCGCTGGAATGCTACCTGGACGCGGAGGGCCTGCTCTCTGGTCATAGGCTGGCGTAGCAGAGCCGCGTCGTCGACGCGCAAGATCGCGCGCTCCAGCGTCGCCCGGGTCACCCCCAGCGCCTCGAAGTGGGCGGCGCTGCTGTCCAATTGAAATATGAAACTACGTGCGAACCAATCGGCCCAAGTTGCTTGCAGCAGAATGTGGTCTGATGCCTGCATTGCCTGGCGGAGCGCGGCAGCCCTCCGCCGGAGCCGCAGGCCCCCAGAGCTGGCCGCTTCCATATAGTAGACCCGCGCCTGGGTTGCCAGCTGGCGAGTGTGCATGTCGACGAAAGACTTCGGAAAACCCAACAAGTCGATGTGCTGGAGGTCGTGGGGGCAGGACCACTGGCCAGAGCCCGGGACCAGACGGCGCAGAGCCTCAGCTTCGACATCAGGCCACTGCGGTGGGAGGGCATCCAGTTGGACCAGGAAACCCAACACGGAGGTGATGTATACCGCGTATGCAACTGCAGTGGCGTGCAGGCCTCCCCCGGCGCACCCCCACGATGCCGCCCTGTCCAAGTACTTCGGCAGGGCCTTGTCGTACGCCCTGTGGCCGCGCCCCGGCCCCAGCACGAACCCGAGATACTTCGCGTGGTCCGCCACCCGCAGCCCCCCCCAGCCTGGCTCGCAGCGGAGCAGCGATTGCAGCACAGGCCCCGCCTCGCCTTGGAAAAGCGGCACGAGGACCGTCTTCGGCATGTTCAGGCGGAGACCTGAGATCTTCCCGAAATCGTGGAAGACTGCGAAGAGAAGCGGGGCTGCCGTGTCCAGGTCGCCGACCACAGCTGCTATATCGTCGGCGAATGCCCGGGGCACCCCCCCAGGCACCTTCGCGTGGAGCCGGCGGAGTAGGATGTCCACGGCCAGAGCGAACAAGATAGGGAAAAGAGGGCACCCTTGCCGGATCCCGGCCTCGGCATTGAATCCGCCGTGCAAGCGGCCCCCCACTATCAGACAGCAGCGGTTGTTCTCGTAGAGGTGCTCCACGAAAAGCGCGAGCCAAGCAGGGAGTCCGGCCGCCCGCAGAGTCGCCAGCAAGAACTCGTGCGCGACGCTGGGGAAAGCAGCCTGGAAGTCGAAGAACCAGGCTGCGCCCCGGGTCTTCGACAGCGCCGCGTGCATCATGGACTCGTCGACGCCCACCACGTTGGAGAGCATCGAGCGGCCTGGCACGAAGCCTCGTTGGCCCAGAGAGATGACCGAGGCCAACGGCTCCTCGACGCAGAATCGCACAGCGCAGGAGAGCAACCGGTTGTCGGTGTTGACCAGGTTCAGAGGCCGGGTGTCCGCGGGGGCGTGCCCGACGCGGCCGTCTGGGAGGGCCCCGGTGCCTTTTGGGAGGAACACCATTACACTGCAGTTGAACTCGGCCAGAAACTCGTCGAGATCCTCCGGGGCGTCCGGCGCCGTCAGGGCCTTCAGTGCTGACCACAAGACGTCTGTGGCTAACGGCCCCAAGCGCCGCCAGGCATGGAATGGTATGCCGTCTGGCCCGGGGGCTGTACTGGGCGAGCGGTCGATGGCCGTCTGCACGTGGTCGCGCTGGAGCTGCCAGGCTGCGTCGCTGCAAGGCGGCACATGGGGCGGCGCGTCGGCCTCGATCCACTCAGAGAGGAGCTGCCGGTCGATCGGCCGGCGGGTGAAGACGCCCCGCCAGTGTTCCCGGAGAGCCGACGCCATCTCGGCGGGGTCAGTGAGAACCTCGCCCTGCTGGTTCACCACGGCAGATAGGCCACTGGAGCGACCTGGCGAGATCCGCTGGAGCAGCCTATGTATGCGATTGCGCTGGATGCTGAGTTCCTCGGCTGGCACGTCCGCCTGCCTGTCCCGAAGCGCGGTCAGGCTGTCGATGGCCGTGGCGCGGGCCAGCTCCACCGCCAAGTTGCGATAGGGCTGGAGCGCGGCCCCGCGCTGTCCTGCCAGCGCCAGCGGCCTAGCCACTAGCGTGGCCAGCCGTGGGAAGCTGGCAATGCAGCGCCGCATCACTCCCTCGCTGCCCCGTTCGGCGGCCCGTATAAAGCGCATTGTATGGCCCACGTAGTCGTGTTGTTCAGCCTGCTGCGGCGTCTGTCGCCGCTCCTGCCGCATTCGGTCCGAGACTGTCCGCATGGCTCGTTTTAACAGCTGCAGGTAAGTGAGAGCCAGGTTGGCCTTCGCCCCCTCCTGCCGCGCGTGCAGCTCGTGGAGTTCGGCGGCCACCCGAGCCGGCCACAGCGGGTGGTCTATGATGTCTTTGCGGATTGGCGCCGAGTCGCACGAACGGCAGCTGGAGGCCCGGCGGGAGAAGGCCAGCGCCCGGTGCGCCGATAGATGCGGCACCCACTCCAAGGCGGAGCAGAGGAGGGAACGATCCAGCTGACCAGCCACGTCTGCGTTCCAATAGGCGCGGTCGAGGCGGCTGCGGCACGCGTCGTTCTCGTGCGTGGGCTCGTCCTGGCGGAGCTCGTACAGCCCGTGCGGCCGGTACAGAACCTCCTCGGCGTGCCTCTCCTCGGCGGCGTCGGTCTGCCCTGTGGCGTCCCCCGTGGCTTTGGACACGCGGTCCTCCCGGCGAGCTGCCCAGTTGAAGTCACCCATCACGATGGAGAGCACCTCGGATGCAGGGGCCATCCGTGCAGCGAGAACGGTCCGCATCCGCCGCCGCTGCTGGCGAGCGTCCTCGTCGACTCCAGCTGGGATGGGGGCGCCCCGGGGGACCACCATGCCGTCCGAGCCCGTGGCAAAGTAGACCGTGTGCAAATCCAGGGCCCCAGCCCTGCCGCGAAGCTGCAGCACGGCAGCGCGACCAGGGACTGGCTCGATCCAGTTGGGCGGAGCCGCGTCGAACTGGTCAAGGAACCGCTTCTTCACGATGATGCCCACGCCCGCCCTCCGAGAAGTACCTGGTGAGAACCACGCCTGGCAGTCCGATGGACAGCTCCATGCTGCAGCTGAGCCCTCCAGGCAGTGCGCCTCCGAGATCGCCCCGAAAAGTAAAGATGGTCCGTGAGCGGCGCTGGCTATCACTGAATCAAGGCGCAGCTCGGCTCGCGGCACGGTGAAACGCAGTTCGAATCTTCTTTCGCCCTGAAAAACATAGATGGTCCGTGAGGGGCGCTGGTGCACCAAAAATGTCCCGAAATGGGCAATCACGAAATCGAGGTGCAGCTCCGCTCGCCGCACGATCGGCTGGCATGCGCGCAAAGCCTCAGCAATTTCATTGATGGCAACGGCGGGATCGGTACAGGCAGCGACGATATGCAGCAAGTGCGTAGAAGGAAGGGGAGTGGAGGAGGGAGGAGGGCGAGGAGCATTGAGCCCCTCATCCGGAGCAAACGAGCAAAGACTGCAACGCATGGTTGTGCCACGGCCCGCACGGAAAGACTATACGTGATTGCAGCGGGTTGGACCGACAGTGCGCGCGGAGATGCAGTGGCGGGAGAGGGCGCACTCACGCCGAGCATACGTAGCCATCACAGGGTGAACGCCCCAGCTGAAAGCAACTGTTGCTCCTCTTCCTTCTCCTCCCCCTCCTCCCCCTCTCCTTCCTCCTCCTCCTCCTCATCCTCCTCCTCCTCCTCCTCATTCTTCTCCTCCTCCTCCTCCTCCTCCTCCTCCTCCTCCTCCTCCTCCTATGCCTGGCTATCACAGGGTGAACGCCCCAATTGAAAACAGCACTGCCTGCCCGGCGCGGCTGTCGGAGCCACTACCCTTCGAGCAAGTTCGCCACCCGTTGTGGCGGCGCAGCAGACGAGCGTGCAGCCTTCCGGAGTGGGCGCTTTGCCACCACTCCGCCAAGCAAGCGCGAGGAGTAGAGGAGGAGCATGTCGAAAGAAGGAAGAACTGATGAGGGCGAAGAGGAAGGGGAGAAACAGTGGAGAAGCTATACCAGTCGTATTCACATACCAGTTGGATCACCATTGAGGCAAAAACAATGTAGAGACTCGGGAATGAATGGGAGCCGACCCTATACGATATCTTGCAACTCCATTCGCCAAGAGATGGAACGGGCAGCGTAGATGTCACTTTCCGTTCATGCATTTCCCCTCCCCCCCCGCTACCCACCGTACGGCGTCTCTTCCCGACGGCGACGAGAACGAGCGCCAGCGCTGCACAGCGCGCATGCACGCCAACATTCATGGCAGTAACGTTGCCATGGACAGCTCCCAGGCTGTGGTAGACAATGTTCAACAAGATAAACCATCTATCGGGAGCGGCCAAGAGGGGGGTGTCCAAGAGGGGGGGTGCAAATCATGACTGGCGGCATGTGCGCGGCCCAGCGGGGGGGCCAGGGACGTAATGAAATAAGAAGAGGCGCCATGAAATCTGAGGAAATATCATGGCCCCCGCCATGATATCCCCCCCCTAGTCATCACCCCCCTCTTTGCCGCCCCCGAGGCAGACCATGTTAGGCAGGGTAGACCATCTGTTCGCGTCGAGGAGTCCGGAGGACGGGACGCAGGGGCAGACCCTGCGCGCTGCTGTGGCGCCCGCTCGTGTGGACCACCGTCCGTCGAACACACGTCCGTCTGAACAGCTGGATGTTACCAGCCTCGAACGTATCCCTATCCCTAAGATTGACACGCCAAAAGGCGATGACTATCTTAGGGATTCGCCATCAAAAAATAAGGGAATCCCTAAGATTGGCATCGTGATGAGGAGGTGCCCAGCATAAGGATAGGGATATGTTCCAGGCTGGTAAGGGTGGGCAGACGGCTCCGTTACCTCCGCGGACAGCAGGCCTGGCCCTGGCCGCAGAGCTTGAATTCGAACGCCCGAAGTGGGTACGGAAAAAAGGGGCACAGTGCCCAACGACACATGTTGTCCCAAACCAACAGCGGCCGCTGTTGGGCAGGCGGCCTTCTGTATCGTATGGACACAGGCCAGGGCGGCGTGGACAGCGAATCCTGCTCAAAATGAATAGGAACTGCTGTTGGGCACTGTACCCATTCTTTCCATACCCATTTCGGGCGTCCAGATTGAAGGGGCGCTGGGACACACAAATAAATCCGCCGGCCCCCTTGTGGGGCCACCAGGCTGTAGGCGCGTGATTCGCAGTTTCCTGTACCAGTTGTAGTTTCTAGTTTCCAGTGTTACAGTTCTGCTTCTTGCTGGTTACTATAACTAGTTGACTTCTTGCTGGTTACTGTAACTAGTTGATTGACCGCGCGAGGGGGGGGGAGGCCCAAACATGATTTTCCAGCGTCCCCTGGGCGCGTTGTCTGAATTGCTGGGGGGGCTCGAAATCGACACCCCTCACGCAGATCCGCGGGGTCAGGGTCCAAAAACACAGGGGATTTGCCACATTTCTGAAATTCGGTGCCACCCCTCACGCAGATCCGCGGGGTCAGGGTCCAAAAACACATGGGATTTGCCTCATTTCTGAAATTCGGTGCCACCCCTCACGCAGATCCGCGGGGTCAGGGTCCAAAAACGCACGGGATTTGCCACATTTCTGAAATTCTGTGCCACCCCTCACGCAGATCCGCGGGGTCAGGGTCCAAAAACACATGGGATTTGCCACATTTCTGAAATTCGGTGCCACCCCTCACGCAGATCCGCGGGGTCAGGGTCCAAAAACACATGGGATTTGCCACATTTCTGAAATTCGGTGCCACCCCTCACGCAGATCCGCGGGGTCAGGGTCCAAAAACACATGGGATTTGCCACATTTCTGAAATTCGGTGCCACCCCTCACGCAGATCCGCGGGGTCAGGGTCCAAAAACACAAGGGATTTGCCACATTTCTGAAATTCGGTGCCACCCTTCACGCACATCCATCGCAAGGCGTGGTAACCCAAACTGCGAGAACTCCCTCGGCCCTTTAATCGCAAGGTGTGGTAACCAAGCCCGTAAACCATACACGTCTTACCAATCGCCAGGTGTGGTAACCCCTCTTGTGATCAGTTGGTTTTGCTGATTGCGACTCGGCTTCGCATGAAGTTTCGATACTGCTTCACGACA